CTCATTAAAACGACGCCGTCATAATAATTCGCCCGCATGGCAATTTGCAAGAAACGCAAACAACTTGCGCGCGTTTGCCTCGCACTCCATTCGCCGCCCGACGGACGACAGCATCAGCGACACCATCTCGCAATTGTACATTCAATTTACCTTTTTGCCCATGGGCGTCGCCATGGAATAATTATCAGTACAGCTAAAACATAATAAAGCGAACTTGGGGCTTATCCGTCTAAATTTACTTCAAAATTTACAAAACATAAATATTCTATTAATATTTATGCTTTTTCTTTCAAAAATATTAAAATTTGTTTTAAGAATGTTTCTTCTTCCACCAAGTATAAATTCCTATTAAATGACGACTTGGAAACGTCGCCCGAGATGAGCATTTCCAGCAATAATTACCGAGCACTAGGTGCTTTGGGATAACGAATGCAAACTCCCATCAACGACCTGCAAATTCGCGATGCAACAGCGGCTTGTAGAGCATGCGAAATGCACGATAACAACGCGCGCAACACTCGCGACTAATTTGACGCGTTGCCAAAATGCGCAAGTTTTCCCAACTCGCGCGAAATGAATAACCAACTCCCCTGGCCCCCACAGGCGGATAGCACATTAAGAAGACGAAGCTCCAGCGGCAGGCAAACGCCAAATTTAAATAACGCACAGCCAACACCGCTAAAAACTTCATTCATACCCAAAGCGTTCGTATAATTAACGTCAATTAAATCGAAACATAGCACGCAAAAGACAAACGCGCATGTAGGTAATTAAATCTACAATGTCTAGTGTGAAACGCTTTGTACTGCAATGAGCTGTAAATAATTTGCGACGCAGATACTATCCATTTAAAATACACTTGGCAGAGAGAAGATTTCGCAAAGAAAGACTACGAGTGTTTATGCTGTCACTGTCGACGACAACGAATGGCATTGTGAGAAATCAAACAAGCAGCAATTCAAACAAATGGAATCAAACGTAAACTCCAGTCGCGCGACTCTTATAGTTGATATAAAGTTATAAGAAAAGCAATATCCTGTGTCATTATATGAAGAGTTCCTAAGTTGGTGCGCGCGCGGCGTGCCCACCCTAGTCCTCTTTTCATTTCACACTAGCTTCCATTTCTATCACATCCGCCCCCACTGTCATCCGATAGGATTTCGCTTCATTGTTGGTCGCCGCGTCCAGTTGCGCGCACAATTTTCTACACAATATCGACACGATTGGCTTTCATGGACATTGACAAGAAAAATTTGATCCAAAACGCTAAGCTGCGCACAATATACAAAAACTTGCTATTTAAGCGTCTAGTTATTGAAATCTTAAAGCACGCAGTTAACACTCCACTTAATTTAAAACTTGGCGTTGTGATAAAGCCCTGCGGCCTGAAAAACCCATGAAAAGAATAGATTTAGTCACCGTCGCGTTCGATTTGATACGCAATTCGTCGGCAATGGAGGAGAAACCGATTCGGCGGCGAGTATTTTGAAAAGTAGAAGGAAGCAATTTCAGTTATATAAAAGAGCACTTAAAAGGACTTTAACTTGGGCGCGCAAGTCTGATGTATTCTCGGCGGCGGCGTGGGGTAAGTAACAACTCTAGGGCGAATATTTTCAGACACGTGCGCTCGCAATTGTGGGTACTGTGCACGTGCGCATCCACAGAAAAGACCGCTTGGTTCACAGGTGAGAAAGGAAGCTAAAGTTTTCATCCCTCAACCCCAACGAGCGCACAACCATTTGTCACATGCCTGCTTAAAGCCTCCAGCAAGTGGAATTCTCGATAAAATTTTCATCTTCAATTTTCAACTTGTTCAAAAGACAAGTTACATAAATTGCAATAGATTTTTTCGCCCTTAAACGCAAAAAACGCGTTATTTTAGTTATTTTTATAGTTTTACTATACCCTGTGTGATCCACACATCCCATAGTGGTAGTGAACTATGCGAGCTTTAGATTTCCCCTGCGAATAACACAAATGAAAATTTGATAGCCTAAAAATTAGCCCCGAAAAGAAAAACCTCGACAAAAAAGCCGGCAAAAAAACGCGCCCAGTCAAAAGCTGCAACAATCAACAACTGAAACAAATCGCATTATTCTTATTTGTTCTCTGCTCTTTTTCACGTTTATTTTTTTTTGTGTGCTCGCATGTGCGACTTACAGCAAGGGCGCACAACTGATTGCCCGACAAATGATGGATGAATTTTTAAAAGCGCTGTTAAATTTTGCTTCCACACTCGAGATTAATTGGATGACGTTTTGTTCCCTTCTACACTCAGTATACACACAAACATAATTTATAATAATGATTAAATACAATGTAAGAATAAAACGAATTTTCTCCTATCGTCAAGATTTAGACGTTCTTTTTTGTGTGCACATGTCACGGCAAGAAAATGTAAAGAAAAAGAAAGCGAAAAAAAATAGACACCAATGTAAACATGTATATACGTTTGTTTTCCTTCAATTAAAACATCAAATGAGCACGTCGGCGGCAATCGTATTGGCAATTTGCGGCGGCGAGCACGCTTTAATAACGTTTTCAATGTTTCATCTTTCCAGCGGCGCGCTTCAAACGAGTTGTCACTCTCCTTTTATTCCCAACCGCACATAATCACATTCACGCTATTAGTTCGATCTTTACACGCTGACATTCAACGATTCGGTTATTAATAGATCATGGGACAGAAACAACCAACACACAAACCGCAATTTTTATCTTTTCTGAAATGCGAGCCCAAAAAGCGCGCAAGCGCGCTCGCTTGTCAGCTCAACTGTAGCGACGCATTTTACGACTCTCTTTGCGCGCGTTTATCGTTTCATTAAAGCGTGGCGCGAACAAAGCGGTGCAAACGAACAAATCAGTACAAATTGATTGCGCGCCAAGCGCCAGCCCAATCGTACCGCGTTATCTCGTATCCCACCGCACACACAATCCACATTTTACCCTTAAAATGTGTTGCGTTCGTTCTACATGCATGCGCCCAGATTGCGTCCGCGTGTTTTATACGTCCGGCGGGCGCGCGTGGCTAGTCACCGTAATACAACACAGAAACAAAAAATAAAAAATAAAAAACGGAAAACGAGCAGCGCAGAAAACAGACAGCCAAAAAAATGTATCAGCTCGCGTCGCATTGCACACGTCCACCAAATGAGGGCTAAAAACCGACACAATGAAGTTACCATCAAGAATAAATCAACTTTTTATCGACGCTCCCAAATGGATCGTTAGGATAGAGAGACTTTCAGGCCAGTTTCACATGACTCCAACGCAATTTCCAGTAAAAAATGCGTGTTGCCTTGACAACGCTATGTGAGCAAACAATTCCGCATCATATTTCTTGCTCATAGTTAATAAACAACGATACGGTTGCGTTTTTCTGATTAAACTCTTCTAATTGTTACTTTTTTCATTCTTTCATTTTCTCATTCAGAAAACTTTTACAAATCCTCTTGCATCAACGCACGATATAATTAATATTCATTCATCCATCGAAACTTCCCTTTTATTAGACATTCATTAGTATTCGATTCATCGCTGCCGCCGCGAGTGAAATTTTATTCCAGTTGCCTTTGCGCATTCATTTCGTATCCCAATTTATTCGTCGCTACCTCGTGCGAAATTTCAATCAATTTTAGCGTTGAGATAATTTCCTAAAAACACAATAGACTAAAACTCTACCCAATTGCTCTCAGCACTTGTGTGTGAGTGTGTGATAAAAAGTGATAAAAGAATTAACACACAATTGCAACGCGTTCGCAAAGAAGTGGAAGTGATTAATGATTGCATCGCTGAATGAAAAGCTTTGCATAGTAGAATCAGAAAATAAAAAAGAAAATATATTCATATAAAGGTAAAATATAAATTTGCGAATATTCGAAAGAAGAAAAAAAAAAAGATTCCAAGGATTTATAAAGGCAAGCTGCTCCTTTTAAACCAGGAATATCATACGTCGATTTATGTTGCAAAGACCTAAAAAAGCCGGGATGATGAAAGAAAACGGAAATTTCGATGGATTGGAAGTTTATAATGACCATAAATACTTACAATCGTTTTAGGGAGAATATGTATCCTCAAAAATGTCTAACTAATCAAAGAAACGAGTATAATGCAAAAAATAACATAGCGATTAGGATAAAAATATTCAGCAAAATATTTTCGAAATACCTAAATAATAAGCAATTATTTTAACATGACATGCAAATATAATTTTAAAACGTCCACGTAAAAAGTTAGTAGTCACTATTTCCAGCTGATTTCCTCCCAAACATATTTTATATTAATAACCATTATGTTGGCTTGGTCGCGTAATTTTATTTAAAACTAGCATGATTCACTTTTCAGCTTGCCTGCTTGCTTGCAAGCAGCAAGTAAGTAGGTAATGTTTTTTTCGCGTCACATTTTTTCATTTGCGCTGACAACGTTTCCCTCGAGTGCTCATTATTCCCCATCGACGCTAATGACTTGTTTGCGTAAATAGCGCTTGCTCGTAAAATGTCATCGCGTTTGCATTTTCCCGTTCACTTTTCACCTATTTTCTACGAGGGGCTTGTTCCTATCTGCGTGTCGCCGCGACGTCACAACGTCAACTCGCGATACGCTCATTTCATCTTTCTGCTTCAAAAGTGCAATTTTTTATTCGTATTTCTCCTAAACTGTGGCCACTGCACCTTAATAACTCAACTATCTGAATCAATACTTAAAATTCCATTAACAGGCGCATATTAAATTGCTTCAGAAGAAAATGATGTGAAGAAAATTAAAACCAAAGAAAAAGTTCTCTCAGAAAGATAATTCAAAGTAATTCCTAGTTTTCAGCTTATTTCGATAGTTAGTATACATTGTAGTGTTCATTTCGTATCGTAAAGTAAGTAAATTTTCATGTAAAATGTATAAATATTGCTTTTGAAAGTACGAGTAGATAATGTTTCGATTATTATATAAAATGCAGCATAAAACGAGAATAAATAAATTCAGAAAATTAATGCATCGACACTCACCCATTGATACAGTGTAGTCCCAGCTTTCCGAGTCATTTTTGTGAACGTTTAATTTATCAGGCTGAAACAAACAAACAAACAACAAAATTGAATCAATTAAATTATATTAGTCATGTAATTGGGTGAAATTATTTATAAGAATGGTGTTGACTGATGATGATGATAATCATAACTAATGCAGCTCAACGGTACACATTAGTTGGGCGACAAAAACAAATACATTATTAATACAGTTAGCTGGCATATTAACGCGTAGCGCAGCATGACCATGTTTCACCTGTCCTCTGCGTACACGACAAGCTTATTCTCTTATATATTTATTCATTATTCATCGCATAGCACTACACTACAACTATGTACTACTCTACCAGCACGTCTTTCGCGATTATTCAATTATTCATTCAGTAGTTTATACAAATGAATTGTTGCGGTGGCTTCTATTGTGCACTGGCGAGTAGAGTGTACGTGTGTTAATGCCATCGTTCATTGAACAAAATCCTAGAGGTGTTTGTAAGAAAACATAATGGGTTCATCGCTTGGGTAGCCATCTAGGAACGCGAGCGTATGCAAATTATAAGTGCGTTCATTTATTACGTGTAGGTATTAATCACTTGCGCTTACAATTACAATTTAATCGCTACATGCACATTGTTAACAAAACAAACAATATAAACGCATCATATTTTAATTCAAGGTGGTGTATGTTTAAGAAAAAAATGGAAAATGTTTTATATAATTTTTTTTATGGGTTTTTAGAGTTATAAGAGAACCAATTTATTAATGTTCAATAAAATAATTTCATCCACACCTGAATTGCATATAAATCTCTCATGAATATATTAAAATTCGTCAAAAATTTCACTGATACAATTACCTACAATGCCCAACAATGAATTAAAATTATATAAAATATTTTTAAAATTTTGCAGTATGCACGAAAATATCTACAAATGAGTGTTTTCTACACGGTCAATTTGACTTTGATAACAATCCAACGCAATGAAATATACAAGCCTTCATTCAGCTGAAATCGGTTCTACAATTTCCGCTCAATAAATACTCAGAAATCTAACCGAAAATAAAACTTTCAGAAAGAATTTGCTTATAAATATCCAACTATTTATGATTTGCGCAATTGGTATTTGCACAAATGGTAAAAACTCCAGCAAATAAATATATGTCTGACATTCGCATGCAATCAACTTATTCTATGAATTCCTAGCAGCACCCATTTACAAACTCAATAAAATAATTTCGAACGCCGATAAATTTAGGTCCCACGTGATTTGAATATAAATCTATCATGAATATATTCAAATTAAGCATAAATTACAATAATACAATTAATTTTACCATCGGAAACATAAACTAAACGCAAAATTACTATTTAAAAAATCATGAACGTGATATAACCACGTTACAAAACAGAATAATTTTTATTTCATGAAATATTCTGTGTTTGGCGTTACGTATGCGCGAAAAAATATGATCACATTGTACAGCATGTGACATGCATATCATCAACCCCTACTCCCCAAACAAACACAATCATGATGTCACACTAAAACTATGGCATTATTGATTTCTGCTTCGCTTTAATTTACGTACATTATCGGCGCATATTTTGAACCGCCCACGCGTACTCACACACATGAAAACATGACGACGCCACCTGATAGCATAGCAGATGGCAGATAGCGAAATAAAAGCCACTAATGACAAGCTCAGTGTAACGTGTAGTGCGCAAATATTACTCCATATCGGATAGGTCACACAAACTTTTCCAATTTCACCACCGCACCACATCACCAACACCTACATCGCCCATATTTTCCAAGTGCCAAAGAAACGAAATTAACTATAACATTCATAAATTGCACGCTGCAAACGCGTTTCTGTTTACATTAGGCCGGGAAATATCCATCAACTACGTATATTACAAACAACGTAATGTTTTTCTAGATAAAACAAAATACAAGCAATAAAACAAAATGTTATTGTTAATTTATTTACGTACAAGCGCTGTGCAGCACCATTTTAATTTCAGCAATACTTCAAAGTTAAACGTTAATTCAAATTTATGGTATTGATGGCATCGTATCGATTAAATTTCCACCGTTAATACTTTCAAACGAAACAACACGTTTAATGCTAGTTATTCATGTAGGTACTGGAGAAGTCGCGTAGCACAGCAGCGGTAAGGTGTAAGTACATACTACAAATTTTCCGTAATGACACCGCGCATAAATATCTATCGTGTCGGGCCTAGTCAAAATATCATCAAATGCGTATAAAACTTTATAGATTTATTGGCCACCTAAGCTATTGCACACGTAAATTCTGGCGAATTTATGTCTTTTGGAAATATTCCAATTGCCTGAATTTGCTACGGCTATAAAGTTATCAGCCATTAATTGGACGCCTATTATCACTATTACATTATATACGTAAATATTTAATAAGTATTAAACATGTAGACACATTTTAACGCATCAACTTTCAGGAGCTCATAAAATTGACGAAATGGGACCCATAAACTAATAGTAGTAAAAAATGCTTTTATTTTCAGCTGCAAACGAGATATGAAATAATAACGCAGCTAAAGTTATAAGCCTACTTATAGAAATAAATCTTCTATAAATAAAAAAATCATGTGGGCAGTTCACAGAATGAGATGCAATTGTAAAAAATCGACAAAATTTGAAAATTTTCAATTAGTAGCACTTTTAGTCACATTTTTCGCCCTCTCACCCAACGAAATTTAGATATTATATATCCTAGTCTAATAAAGAATTTTCCAATCTTTTATAATCTGCAATTCGCTAAATTCTAGCGCTTTTAGTTTAGAAGAAATTCACTATCAAAAAACTTCGATAAAAATTATCAAGCACCCTCTTTGTCAAATTTTCCTTATAAATTAAAATTTCATCTCTCAGATTTCCGATTTAACTATCCTATCTTATAGAGAATAGTCCGTAGATTTAAACGCTGCGATCAGATCCTATTTATCTCCTTTAGTTTACGAGATATTCGCGATTGAAAAAAAGGGGCAAAAATTGAAAAATGTCACTTTTTAGCACTTTTAGTCACGTTTTTTGACCTTTTGCTATTGGAAATATTATTATTTTATATTTTGTCTGATAGAGAATTTTCCAATCTTTCATAATCAGCAATTCGTTGGTTGCTATCTCTTTTGGTTTCAAAGATATTAATTATTGAAAATCGTCGAAAAAATTATCAAGCACCCCCTTGGCAACTTTTTCTTAAGAATTAAAATTTCATCCCTCAGATTTCCGTATTAACTATCCTATCTTATAGAGAATAGTCCGTAGATTAAAACGCTGCGATCAGATCCTATTTATCTCTTTTAGTTTACGAGATATTCGCGATTGAAAAAAATGGGCAAAAATTGAAAAATGTCACTTTTTAGCACTTTTAGTCACGTTTTTTTACCTTTTGCTATGGAAATGTTATTATTTTATATTTTTGTTTGATAGAGAAATTTTCAATCTTTCATAATGAGCAATTCGTTGGTTGCTATCTCTTTTAGTTTAAGAGATATTAATTATCAAAAATCCTCGAAAAAAATTATCAAGCAGCCCCCTTGTCAATTTTTTCTTAAGAATTAAAATTTCATCTGCTGGATATCCAATTTAACTAGCTTATTTGATAGAGAATTGTCCGTAGATTAAGACTCTGCGATTCGTTCCTTTCTATGTCTTCTAGTTTACTTGATATGTATTTAGTAAATAAAAATAACTTCATTATCATTTGCAAGTTTTACGAAAATGCTAATCCAATATTCCTTCCGCCCCAAATAAGCCATATTCATATTTTATCCCGATTTTTATTATCCCATTAAATATTTAACCTAAACTTTTAAAACGCGACTAATATCGCCAACTTTTCGCGTTAATGTAAAGATAAATGTCAAGGATCAGGATATCAGCCGAATGTAACACGGTCTGCGGCATCACGATAACAAGAACGCCACAACTCTACAAGAATATAACGTGAATTGTATATAGTTATAGCCCCGTACTCCAGTCCTTCAGTCTTATATCATCTCTGTCCTCGTCCTCGACCGTACGTAGAGAAGCCTCTAGTCTACTCCTAGCCACCCACCGCACCACCCCACACCACCACAGCACTAGACAAGAGATGCTTTATGGTTTTACGCCCCAAAGGATGTGCTTGTACTCTTATGTTACGAGTGCGAGGTGCTAATGCACAAAGCACGGTAACGTATGGCCGCCGCACGACGAAGCAAGCCTAGGGACGTATTTATAAATGTCCCAACTCACAAAACAAACAACCCATACACACAGGACGGGCTCCTGCGCGCCGACGCGATAGTGCTAAAGGTGTACATCACTACCCTAAATCGGCGGCTATAAATAACAGCGCAAACATGACTTATGTGTGCATAACATTCATAAATATGGCGCAAATTTACTTGTTTTATGCATTGACATTTCAATTTTAAATTGCACGCGCTGCACGTTCCAAAATCCATTAGTTGTGTGCGCGCACATTCAAATTTACTGCATGAGGTATAAAGCGTTTAAATACATCTGGTACTCAAGCAACCAGTAGCATCTGGAAATGCGTGCGGTGGTCCATTCAAGATTAATGTTGTTTTACATGAGTGCCTTGTAAAACATCAACACGCATTCTCAGCGCATCGTCTCTCATAATTCTCCACGTCGAATATTAAGCCTTCGCGAGGTAAAAATTCAATTAATACTAATACCAACTACAAGAAATTATTTATGCTGACATAAAATACCCAAGCACATTTATATACATATAAGTAAGTGTATTAGATGTGTTCAAATTGTCGAGATTGATTTCGGTCCGCGTCCAACTTTTCTCAATGCAATGCCTAAAAATAACCCCATGCCGCACAGCTGGTTACGTAACATTTGCCAGCTAATCATTAATCAATCATTAATAACGCGACGCGGCAGCGCACATAGGTAGCACTGCACCAAGTTATAATTATCAGTGCTAATTGGATTTTAAATTTTAATAAGGTCACTCATAATATATCACGTGTAA